CTCATTGTACATTTCGCACGCTTGCTGTTGGTCGTAAATGACACACCTCTATGAAGAATGTCAACACTATAACCATCATCCCCATATGGAAATAGCAATGGATATTGGAGAGGAAGGTACGAAGGATGCAATTCACTGATACGTTGTAGACAACCATTTTTTGTTTGAACGACGATATCCCTCTTTTCGATTGAATCCGAAATGTCACCAATTATTAAAGCAGCAACCTCAGAAGCAGTCGGTTGGTTATATGTTCTTCCATCTTGCTCCCTTCTCCCGATAAGTCGTAATTTCATATCAACTTCTGGATTTTTTTGAAAAGTATCTCTTACCATTCTATAAGATCTAACCAAGACATTATTTGAATCCAACATCACCTTAATATCTTTAACAATATCACTATCAGTTGATGTTGATTGATCCTTTTCACCACTAAAGTAAATAAATTTATACATAATAGTAGTAATATATATATATATATATATATATATATATATATATATATATATATATATATATTAATAATAATAATAATAATAGATTATGAATAAGAAGTTTAAGAAAATACCGAAAACATCTTTGTCTATTTGTAATTTCGTTGTCAGTGTCATAAATGTATAACTGAGAGAATTTTGGTTCCGATCCTTTTGCTGGCAAAAGACTTCCAATACTATGATAATTTTGACCACCCAATCTGAAAATGTAAGGAGCGTTTCCTCTATTGATTGAAGAATCAATTTTACCACCCATCGACGTGAAAGAAAACATTAAATTGTAACGTCGAATGTTTTTCATGAAGTGTTTGCTTTTTGAATCCATATTTCGAAATATTCTTTCATAAGTAGGGGGTGCATTCTTTAAATCTGGAAGTTGAATTTTGCCGTAATCACAACATAATGAATAATCCATGTTCCCATTTTCTTTACCTCTAATGGATTCATTTCTTCATAACTTTGCACGACATGTTTAAAATACAACATCTTGATCACCATGATTCAAATATTCTGTAAAATAAAAGCGTTGAATAAAATATCAATGAATTTTATAATTATATATAACATAGTATCTGAAATGTAAAATGGATTTTATTTTTTGATTACCATTTGAGATACCAACTATACGATTTTCACTGTTCACTTGATGTATATTTTCTACATCTTCTGTCAAATCAATCAATGGGATAGGGGATAAATGTGTTGTCTTCGTTTTTAATTTATGACATCCTGGATTTAACATGATTGATGATGAAGAAGTTGTTACTGTAGATGCATTTTTTGATGTCATATCATTTGAAAGTACATGGTACTGTCTTTTCTTTGCTAACTTGGAAGTGATATATTTATCGAAACCAATGTTATCTGAATAAAAATAAAATAGTTAAATATATATATATATATATATATATATATATATATATCCTGATTATATGCATAATGGATAATAGTATATTTTAAAAACCATAAATAATTACCATTTGTAATGTTAGATAACGGATTTATAACATTTGTAATGTTAGAAAATGGAGTTCTAACATCTGTAAAGGAAGGACAGTATTGTATGGTTGTGTTATGCTTTGCAGGTGTTGTAAATGAATTGACATTTTGAGTTTGACGAACAATGTTGGTTGATTGATCTGCAAATAGAAATAACTTATAAAACTTGTAAATATATGTATTCAACTATATAACAGTAAAAGATGGAATATAAAATACTAATACGGTTATAGTTAATGGTATTTTTGAAGAGATGTTGTAATGATGTACTTGGAACGTTTGATGTTGTTTTTATTTTCTTCGATCTTTTATTTTCCAAATATATTTTTCTTTGTCTTCTTTTCTCTTTGGCCTGCATGTGGTACATGTTACTGTTGTTTTCTGCATAAGAAGACATAGGTTAGGAAATGAAATGTGAAATTATGTACATAATATGTTTATATAATACAATTGAAGTTAGTTATAATTAAATAAATAATGATAATAAAGTAAATGTATTTAAAAAGTTACCTTTATGAATTTGTTTATTAAAATGTGTAACAAAATTTGCAAATATTAATTTACTCTTTTATAATATATTTTAAACAAATTAGTCAATTGAAGATTTTTAAAATACTAAATAGTATAAAATAGATATTATATATTTGTTTATATTGTGTAAAAGAGACTTTAAATAAAAATATTAAAGTTACCATGAGGCGGATTGTAGATATGGGTCCGAAAATAAGATTTGAAGCGGAATGTTATGTTGTAGTTGCAGAAATAACTCCATCAAAAGAATTCTGGAACGACTCCAATCTTCCATAGATGGTCGTCGAAGATTAGCAGTCAATGACTATCCTCGATTCCCCCTAAATCGATCGCACTCAACAACACATGAAAGGTAACCTAGAAAATCATGGAGATCTAAGATACCGTGTAATCGTCCGATATGGAAATCTCCGTTCGGATTGAAAAATACGATACGAAGGTAGACTCTCCTTCTTCCTGTGCCACAATCAATTATTTCCCTGATGAACATCATGACTCATCATCCTCATTTCCATCCTAGGGTTTATTCGATTTACATCTGTTGTTTCCCCAATTTCAACCAATCGTGGCTTCGGATGATATCAGGGGTTAAAACCCTAGATCTCCATGGAAACAATAAAGGTAAAATTGTGTGATACACGATAATCGTGATGATTATAAATTTCTTATTGATCTTAAACATCTATCCCCGCTTATTTTTTTTTACAGTTACAAAAACATCTATTCCAGCATATTGATTATTGTTGTAAATTTCAACCATAAATTCATAGAGAAAACAAAGTGATCTAAACTCATTATACTAACCTGACATATGGATATGGAAATCTTGCAGGTAGAACTGGAATGAGGATTAGGACTTTAATGAAGCAGTTTGATGCAAGTTTAATGAAAAAATAATCGCAGAAGCAATTGAACATTAAGAAGACGAATGAGGAGTTTCAAAATTTTGGATTTCACGTTTTGAGGTAAATTATATATATATATATATATATATATATATATATATATATATATATATATATATATATATATTGGAAAAAGATTACGATTTTATGATTTTTATTGTTGTTGGATCTTTATTAGATAAAATTTTGTTCCTGATTTTTTGGAATATAAAAGATTACAACTAAAAATTAGTTTAATATTCGAATTTCATCTAAAAAGGGAGTATAGAATATTAGGAAATAGTAAATTGAATATAAGTTATTTATAGAAGATAAGTAAATATGCTGCAACCATTACAAAAATGTATGAATTAATTGAAGAGAATCAAATATATAAATTTTGTTTACAATTGGTTATTGATTATTTATTAAAACTAACATATTTATCGTGAGAAAAATAATAGTTATTCATAAGTCATTACACATGCTGCAGAAGGAGATTTTAAAAAAATGGGTCATTCAGAACCTTGTTTCTTGATCGATCAAATAGATAGAAGTGGATTATCCTTTCTACCTGAAAACTGGCAAGTTAGGAAATTTGATTTGTTAATTTTAAGTTACTGAATAATGTGTGGAAATTTTATTTATTTTTGATATAGTTGCAACATAAACATTATTGTACTTTGAACTTTATCTTATTAAGACATTGTACTTTTAAAATTTTACCCAATTTAAACATTTAATTTACCCTTTTGTCTAATTTTAACTAAATATGCTATCGACATGTAATTCCATATTTGGGCTATTTTGTTTGTCCAGAAAATAATTCATGACTTTGAAAAATATCATGATTCACAAAAACATATAAAAACAGATACACATACATAGACAAACACATATATTTATAAAATTAAACTAAAACATGATAAATTACGGATATACCCTTAATGGTATATAATGAGAAAAAAACTAAAAATCAAAAACTAAACAGAAATAACCTGTATATTTAACAAACAAAATTAGGATATAAACACGAAAATCGTAAAAACAGATACACATACATAGACAACCACATATATTTCAAAAATTAAACTAAAAGATGATAAATTACGGATATACCCTTAAGGGTATATAATGAGAAAAAAATTAAAAATCATAAACCAAACAGAAATAACCTGTATATTTAACAAACAAAATTAGGATATAAACAGGAAAATCGTAAACCACTGATTGATTTATATATTTAATTATCACCTGTAAACATACTTTTCAAAAATAGATATAAACAGAAAAATTATGATCCGCAAAAACAGATATAAATAGATACGTACATATAGACAATAACACATATATTTAGAAAAATAAACTAAAAGATGATCAATTCCAGATTATAGTATTGCAATTTGAGAATAGATTCCTAAAAATGGGATATAGTGTATTAGGAACTTTAAAATGAAATTTGTATTTTTTTTGTTTATTATTTAAACAGGTTTGATAAATAACATGAATAAATCAAATTCCTATGCTTATCTGTTTTTTTTTTCTTTCTAGTTTACCTCCAAAAATAAATCTTTTTACAATTTTGGTCGTTATGTTATTGGTTTCCCAACACTTTTGGTTGCTAAACCATCAACTATAACAACTAAACTATAAAATTTATGAAAATGACCGTTTTGCCCTTGTATAATTTATCACATTTGTTTTTCATGGTCAAGGAGTATAATTAAACCCCTACACAATCCATCTCTTTCCTTGAGAAAACCTAATAACCGATTTCAACGAAATCCTATAAATCAAAGTCAAACCAACCCAAATTCAAAGTTAAAGATATAACACCAAAGTTATAAACTAAAACAAATTGTAATAACAAAATCAAAGCAATGAAGAACAGAAGCACATGGACACACAATTCTAAACCAAATTCAACTAACTTCTCCCTTTTAAAACAAAAAAATATCCAAAAATATTCAAAACCAATAATATTTAACATCCTAAATACCCAAAATAAAAATCATACCAAGCAATCAAAATATCTTTAAAACAAAAACAAATAATCAAAATATATTAAATGCGTGTTATAACCAATACCATCTCACTTCTCCAATTTTGGAATTAAGAGTGGAGCTTCCTCTACAGTTGACTTTCTTTTAGACTTAGTGCAACTTAAATCATCTCCAAAATCAACATCATAAATTTCTTGGAGGTTGCGCTTTAAAGAACTTGATATTTTGCTTGGACTTGTTGCGGTTGACTTATCAACTGTTGAGTGTGTAAAACTTTCATCTGTTTGTGAGATCACATGCTAATTTAAATTAAATAATAATAAGTGTTTAATTCCAAAAAACCCCTAATATAAATAAAAGTTAATAAAATGAATTGAAAAACCTTTTGAACAGGCTGTACAACATCATCGGATTCCAAAGCAACTTGATTTAAGGAGACAGATTGAATACTCTAAAAAATAAAATTGAAATATGTTAATCGTTATGTATTTTAACAGTAAAGAATTATAAATGTTCAACAATAAAAACTTACATACCATAAGTTCTATTTTACTTTCCAATTCATAAACAATGGACATATCTTTTGTAACTCTGAGAACTGTGTAGATATTATTATAGTTGTTGACATTGTATTCTGTAATATCTACAAGAAAACCAAACTTGCGGTTTTTCAACACGTTAAGTTGCATTGGAAATAGTCCTTCACTGTCTCCGGCCTGTAAGATATATTTAAATAAATTAAAAAAAAGTAAATGTTTTCTGATTTTAAGATATGAATAATATACCACATCATGTATTTTTTTTCAACTCGTATGCACTTATATTTAACAGCCTCTTTGCTTCCCTATCAAAAAGAGTCAATCCAATGGTTCCAGTACAATCTTGTACGTTAATTGGAATTATATACCTAAAATAAATTTTTTTTTGTAATTGTTAGTGTTGTTTTACAGATTGATAAAATTAATAGAAATAAATATGTGTTTACTTTATAACTGTTTGAATTTCAGATTTTTTGCATTGTGCATTTGTACACCCGACAACCATAGTTTCTGAAATTTTTTCAGGGTCGGTATACGAATGATTGGCTTTGGGAACAGGGATTATTTTTTTCCCACATTTTTTGCATGCTTCATAATACCATGGTAGATTCTGTCTTATATTAACAATTGAAGCAACTAATAAAAACTTCATTTCCTGTATCAAATTAAATGTAAAAGTTATTAAAATAAATTATGAAAAAAAATTTGTAAAACATATCAAAAAATGCAATATACCTTAATTGGTTCTGTGATCTCACAAATTGTTTTTAATGAAAAATTGCCCTTAAAGTCATCTGTATATGAAGAAGAGTAGCTTTGAAGTGTAGTTATGCTTTTTTTCACTTATACCGATTAACTTATTTTTAAACTCATTTATTTCAAAAATGTCAGAATTTATGAACATTTTTGTTACTTCAAAATGACTTTTAGCTTCACCAATACCTGCAATAAATGTATACCCAATTAATAAAAATTATAAATAAACAATAATTATAAACATATATATAAAGATTGAATACAAACCATTCCAAATGTTTAGCTTCAAAAACTGCATCACGATAACAACACAATTAACCGTCGGGTTATTTTGTAGGTATTCTTACATTTGATATGCTTGACTTCCAAAAATAGTAACCTTCAGATGTACAAAACTAAATAAACCAAAAAATCGTATATTAATATTAATTTCTGATTAATTAAAGATAATAAATAAATAATAATTTAATATAATCTCACTCTAGGTTGCTAAGAGTGAGTTTTATATAATGCTTATAAACTAGACCATTAAAATTGTAATATTTAAATAATAAAATGTATAACCAAAAACACAACTGATAAAAAATGATTTGATTAAAATTTAATAACTAACCAAAAAATGTTTCTCTTGGGCATGTTTGTTCTATGATAGAATTAAAGTCAACAAACATAAATCCATTGACCGAACCCGAGAAATCATCACATTTTTTTAGGATGCTTTTCCAATCCAAAGTTAAGGTCTGTTTATGACCTGTATAACTAAAACCATTAGTAACAGCAGCCATATTTGGTTTTATAACTATATAACTTTCATCTTCCTTTAAGAGATGACGAAATCTGGAGAAATTCTGATTGAAGACACGACCATGGTATTGTGTACCTTGTTTAAAAAAAAATTAAAAATAATTATTTTGTTGAAACATGTGTAATATTGAATGATGAATAAAAAATATATGAAATACAACAAACCTCCTCGTCCATCAGGACCATTTCCATTGAACAAACTTTATTATTTCTGATAAAGTTCCAAATTTTAAGGACCCAAACTTTGATATATGATTTTTCATCTATCTGGTCAATATTATTTAGATAAACTTTATTTCCTATATTCATTTTCTGCAAGAAAATTTAAACCATATAGAATTGTAAGGAATATTACCAACCTTCAACAATGTACAGAACATCCAAACTAATAACTAAAACAAAAAATTCATAAATAACCACATGACAAAATCAAATAATTCATATGAAATAGTATTTTAAAAATGACAGCAAAACAATATATTTAACATGTAGATATATTTAAATATAAATTTAAGATATAAACAATAATTATACCGACAATGCCCCTGCAACTCACTAATAGATAACATAAAAATTAGTAATGGTAATGTAGATATCTTTAATTTGTACTGCTAATTGGTCCTTTATTCATCTAACTTTATATGTAAATACAGAAAGTAATAACAATTAAATCATATTATAGTTAAGAATAACAGCTTTAGATCTGAATAAGAATAATAATTTTATTTAAAGAAAATGAAGCTTTCATGTTCATTAGTTTTTTCGTCGTCATCTGAATAAGAATAATAATTGACATCATAAATTAGGTTTAACTTAACAGTAAATGAAACAGCAAAACAAAAAAAAACATATTGTAATAATTAAAGCTTTGAAGAACAGTTTTTTTTAAAAGAAAACCAAGTTCTCATTTTTATTACTAATTTCGTATTCGTATTTCGTACTTTGTTATAATTTTCATTACCAACCTTCAACAATGATAGCAAAACAATATATTTAACATGTAGATATATTTAAATATAAAATTAACATATAAACAATAATTATACCGACAATGCCCCTGCAACTCACTAATAGATAACATAAAAATTATTAATGGTAATGTAGATATCTTAAATTTGTACTGCTAAATGATCGTTTATTCATCTTCAATTTGTACTGCTAAATGGTCGTTTATTCAATTATTCTGTTTATAATAAAATGGAATCCAAACAAAAACCAATAATTCATATCAAATAATTTCATATCAAGTTCTCAATTATATTACTAATTCCGTATTTTGTTATCATTTTCATTAACATTTACGTCTTTTAAACTGAAAAGGTAGAAGAAGAACATGATTAAGAAGAATTATCAAAAAGAAGAAGAAGAACATCACTAATAAAATGAGAAAATGATAGAAACTGATAAATCAGAAAATTAAGAGGTTAGAAATATTAGTAATGCTGATATTTTAATACACTAACCTGATATTATAATTTTTGAAGTGTTGCAGAATCAAGAAGAATGAAGAAGAATACGTTTGCAAATATTACTATGGAGCAGAATTCGTCTGGAGCAGAATGGTAAAAAGAAAATAACCGTATGAATGCTATTTACGTTTGAATAAATAAGAATAAGAATTAAGAAGATTACGTTTGAAAAAGAATAATATTGCAGATTTTTAGGGATTTAATTTGCAATCAAAATAAACAAACTTTCAAAATTAATGCGTGTTTTTCGAATCAGAAGATTGATTAACATATTTTTTCAATGTATTTCCATATCTTTTATTCATTTAAAATTTTTGGTTTAATATTTTGAAAAGATTTCTATGCAAATTTTTCCGGAATTCTTTCATTTAGATTCTATGGCATTTATGTAAATATAGATTAATAAAATGAGCGGGAAAACTCTATTTTGGGGGCCTTGGAGAATGCCACGTGGCCGAGTTCTACTTATTTATTAGAATTAGGATATATATATATATATATATATATATATATATATATATATATATATATATATATATATATATATATATATATATATATAAAATTCAACCATGGTACTCTTGTGCTCCAAAACGGCATATTTGTTATTTGTGTGTTGGTATTACTTTTCTATGTTTTTGAATATGGGTTGTCCATTTAAACTGTAAGTGAATAGTAAACTGAAAGCATAAAAAAAAAACCAAATAACTTCAAATTTCAAAACTATATAATTATTTCAGTCAATATCAAATTAAACACGACGTCCAAATTTGAATACAATTTTACATGATGTTGTCTAGAGTGATATTGTACAGACGCACACTATACAATACACACTATATAAGGGTAACTGTAAACGCAAAGACACGAATTGCCAAAATTTTATTCACCTACCACCGAAAAAAAACTAATTTACAGAAAAGAAAATAAAATAAAAAACTATTCAACTCCTCTGCCGTCAAGCCTACACAATTAAATCATCATGCCGTACCGTTAACACCAAACTGACTTAATTTGTGTCACGCTACATTACACTTAATTTGCGTCACGCTACATTACACGCACTACAAAAAAATGCCAATTAGTGACCAAAATCAAATGCTCACTAACAATAGAATGAGTTGTAGTAAATGATTTACTGACTAGAATTATGGTCATCACTTTTTGTCACTATAGATTCGTCACAAAACTGATTTAGTGATCAAATATAAATTTGGTCACTAAACAGTGACTAAAATATATTTGTCACTAAATCTATGACAATCCGCTTCGTCACCAAATGTTGTTAATAATCAATGAAAGTCGTCATTATTTAAACTATTTAGTGACTAATAAAATCCGTCAATGTTTCATCCAGCTAACGACCATAGAAAGTGGTCACTAGTACATCTAATTAGTGATCATAACAGGTCGTCACTGATTTATCCTATTAGACAAAAAAAGGGTCAATATTAAAAAAATTATTAAATTATTAAATGTCATTTTTAATATGAAATATAACAGTATCGAATTAGACAAGACAAAGCAATGCTATAAATTTTTACAATACAACAACATTAATCAAATAAATCTTCACATTTATAATATGAAAATTAAATGTCTCTTTTAAAAAAAAAACAAAATCTATAGATTTTATCCAATATTTCAAAAAACTAACATATAAAGATCAATGTGGATTAAAAGTAAATTCAATTGATTAATGTAATTGAGATAAACGTGAAAGCTCAATCATCATAAATTCAATTTTCTTTTTTTGCTCCTCTAGATATTTGATCTACTCATCTTGAAATTGTAGTTGCTCTTCTTTAATTACACGAATTTCCTCCTCTAAGGCTTTTGATTTTTCCTTTTCCAATTCCAATTCTATTTGTAACTTTTCTTTGCCCTTTTATATATCATTTTGCATAAGAAATTTATGTCGTAAACAAGAAGAAGCAGCTTCCACATTTAGCAATTAATTCTACATAACAAAACAATTTTGTCACACCCTCGAACCAGACGGCGGAAACGTCCGAGGGCTTACGTGACTAACAATTGAATACCATAACAATTAATATACATGAAACAAACACATACATCAACAACATTACAAATTACAACTTACATAGTTCACATCAAGTACATTGAACAAATATTACATCATCGTAAGTATATTGTTTGAAAGTTACAAGACATGAAGTCCTAATCAAGCATGATAATCATCTTCTTCATAACTGTTACCTGAGAATACAAGTTATTTTAAAAAAAATGGTTAACATATGAAATGTTGGTGAGTTCATAAGCATGTTTGATATAAAACGTTTCATGTTGTTGGTAAACCCTAGAAAATCCGATATTTTCTGTAAGTAAAATCGTTTGCAACATGATGTGATGATCCAATAATGTATAAATATGTGTAATTTTAGAAGTAGTATATATATGGCTTATTAACATTAGTATTTCTCATATGGCAGTTGAAGTATGATATAGAAATGATCTTGAGACCCGGAAAATCCAATATTTTCCGATATAAAACAGTGTGATAGTTTTCTGAATTCGTATAAATCTCATAGTACCACCATATGTATGAAGGCAATTTCCCAAATAATAGTGAAATGGTAATGGATCTCTATGTGAGACGTTATAACCATGCATGATAATGACTATTTTTTCTGCCTTAGCATTTTTGCAAACGCCGGTTTTGCTCAAGATTTTGTCACCCTAGATTGGCCGACTCTAACTGTAGCAAACAACTCAGGTGTGGGGGAGTCATCCCCGTATAGATCTATACACAAACTTTCGCCCTCCGTCCAGGAGACTCTGATTATAATTACAGGCTACGACCGACACTTATGTGTGCCAACCGCATATTTCTCACTAATCTCAATTATTACCCTGAGAATTTGAATAGTATTGATCACAATCCATGTATTGATTACTTGAGTATGAGTAAATCCCAAACAACAAGAATAAGAACAACTGTGGTCCAGTAATCATGTATGTTAATTTAGGCTATCGAGCACATGAGTAAGTTGGACCTTACTAGCAATGCAGATGGGCCACTAAGGCCCAATAGCATTTGAAGCCATGGAGAGTCCATTAAATATGTAATTGGGTCACCAGAAGCCCAATAAACATGTATTATTATTATTGATGGGCCCAATAATTATGTTAATGGGCCACGAAGGCCCATTAAGCATAATTTACAAATATTAAGCCCAATAAATTTAGTGTTTACCCATTTTGTATAGTATAAAAATCGGAAGCTTTGTTTAAACGAGTTGTTCAATCGTAAAGTTCCAAAACCAATTGTTTAGGCAATTCAGTCCATTTTCTAATAAAAATGACAATTTTAGTCCCTTTTAATGAAAAATGACATTTTAGGCCCTTAGATTATTTTTCTTGACATTTTCAGCCCAAACACTTTTTTAACTAGTATTTTCAGCCCAAATTAAAATGTTGGACAGTTTCAGCCCTTTAGTTAAAAAGATTTACACTTGTAGCCCATATTTTCATAATTTTTACTATCTAAGTCCAAAACCCAAAAACTTTGCATTTTTAGTCCTATTTGGTAATAAATACATTTTCAACCACTAAAACTTGTTTATTTAAGCTTTTAAGCTCATGTTTTGATAAATATACAATTTTAGTCCTTAAAATCACATTTTTCACAATTATGGGACTAAAAAACAAAAAGCCTAAATTTTAGCCGATTAAGCTAAAATTTACATTTTTAGTCCTTTAAAAGTCATGATTTTTATAAAAACTTATATTTTAACTAATTTGACCCTTTTTAACCTTTATAAAACCGAAAGTGGTATCATTTAACCCATCTTTTGCTTATTTGTCAAAAATGGCCCAAAAACAAGATTGGTGTTTGGTTTTGCTCATTTGAAACTTGTATAACACTTTTTCTTGAAATTAAGATGTATAAGATGTCTTAGATCACATATTTTTCCCATTATAGATAGAAATCTCAAATATATCACATTTTAGCACATAATCATCATATAAAAACACAAAAAATTACACATATCATACAAATACACATAGATCTACACATTTCACTTGTATTATCCCCCATAAAACATGTAAAACCAAAAATAGAGGGGTATGAACTTACTTTGAGGGTTGTAGCTTCGATTTTGAGGGAGAAATGGAAGAATATGATGTTGTTTTCGGCTTGAATGCTTTCTTAGAAGAAGTATTGAAGCTTTGATGGTCCTAGAAGGCTTGATCACGAAATGAAGCCACATGAAAGAGTGTTCTTAGCCTAAAGATAGAGATCAAAACTTATGTATGATAGAAACTTACCAAGGATGGTGATATAAGTGAAATATCTTCTTCAAACACTACTAATTCTCAAGATTTTTGAAGGAAATGAGAAGATGTTTTTGCATGAGTAGAGAGAGTTTGAAGAGAAATTTTTTGAAGAGGGTGGTGTGGTTGTGAGGTCTCTGCCAAAGAAGAGAGGGAAGAGAACGATGAGGTGACTGCATGGAGACATGAGATCCTTTCCTTGTTACATGTTGAGTAGTTTCTTAGTTGACCATTAAACAATATTGAGGTGACATGTTTAAGTTTAATTTTCCATATATTTTTTTATACATGGGTCGATATTTGGGCCAAAAAAGAAAGAAATGAACTAGTTTGGGTTCATTCTTGGTCTTGCTCGAAAACATAATGTCCATTAAGTAAGTTTTCGGCCCATTAAGCACATAGGATGGTTTTCGGCCCAAATTGTACAAAAGAATGGATTTATGGTCCTTTAGGGTTAATTTAAATCAATTATAGCCCAAATAAAGCCCATTAGGGTAAACCATTTCATTTTAGGCCCATGATGGCCCAAAAGGTTAGGTTTAGTGAATGTGGATCCAATTAGGGCCCATTTAAGGGTTCTAAGCCCAAGATAATCAAATTATAAGCTTACTGACTCATTGGGCCCAATAAGGGTTTCCTAGTCCAAAAATGGACTTAGACTATAGTCCTTAGGGTTTTCAAAATTCTAAATTCAATTTTCATAATGTTTTGTATAAATTTTGGGCTTTATGATTTGACTTGGTGAAAGTTTGTTATTGTTAAATAACATAGTGCATTATCAAGTTCAAAGCTTACGACTGATGTCATTGACATTGTTTACAGTATCATTGAATTTCCTAGGAAAATGCTAATTGTGACAAATTTATATTAAAAGTAAAATATAAATTATTCATAAGTGTGTCATTGATCATTTGATTTTACTTTTTCAAAAAATATCCAGTCTTGTAACGTTCAATTAATGATATTAAAAACAACACTCAGGCCATAATACAAACACTATTCTTGTGTTATTGAAATGAGTCAAAAGGACAATGCTAAATAAGAAAGTGCCATCTTGTAAATATTATGGTTGAATATATTTGTCTGCAATAGCCTATAAGTTTATAACATCCTACTTTCTTTTTTCTATTAGAACATTGTACTTTCATTTGTTTCTTATTAAGGCATCGTAGTTTGATTCTTTAAAAATATATACCCAATAATACTAATGTAAACCAAATACAAAGCAAACTTTTAATAGAAGAAACAAGAGTCCGATGCTATAATAAACAAAGCAAAAAAGTACATTGCTATTTCTTGCATGTTAAAGAAACCGAACTTTACTAATGTTTTAATGTTTTATCAGATAGTTGATATATTGATGAATATTGTACAGATTTTTACTATAACTAAATTTAATAGCAGATTAAAACATGGTTATATAAACAAGTTATTTACTAAAACCATCATTTTGTGGTAAATAATTAGGCTTCTCATAACATAATTGGTAATCCAACAATTGGGAGGTTCATATTTATCCATAACAGGTTATAATATTTTTCAAACAAATACAAATGGTCTTCTAGATAATATGGGTAAATTTGTTACCTATTTTGACAGATAATGTGGGTAAACTTTTCATGCTCGCGTTCGAACAAATACAAATGTGGAGCGAGTTTTAGGATGTGTTGCATAAAGTTCCGACCTAATTGCATAGGAGCATAAGAATGTATGAATAAAATTACCATTTTACCCTTAAGAGTTATTAGTCATTTTTGTTCGTTAAAATTGTTACCTGATACAATTTTAACTCAAACCGAGGCACAACCTCCTTTAGATCAACTGATTTAGGACCTCCACTTTGCCTATAGATAGGATGCCTATAAAAAAAATATAGCTTTTTATTTATTTTTGAAGAATTACATTTAATTTGATTAAAATTATGATAAGCAATTACCTGAAACAAATCTAATCTGATTGATTAGCTAAAGTGATTATACATTTGGAATCAAGCTTGGGCACCGGAAAGAGATACAGTCCTTTCACCAATCAATTCAATCACATAACGAATAAGATGTCAAAAATAAAAATAAAAAAAAAGATTTCTAACCCAAGAAATCTTGTTGAAGTCAAAATCACTGAAGACAAAGATGCTTCCTACAATATAAATAGAACACAACATTTGTCAAACAAATAAGAAATAAATATTTCAAACTCCATGATTATTAGAGTCTGTTATTACCTACTTTTCAAAGAAACCACAATGAAGAAATATGAATCAAAGTGAAATTAAGCTCACATCCCGTTGTTAATGACCCTTTGATTTCATCTAATACAGGCTCTTTAAGCATTTGAACAACAGATTCCTGATTTTTTTGTAATTTCCTGCACCCAGAGTGAAACACTTCTACTGAACTATTTGCAAATGTTATTATATAAAATAATAACAAAGGAAGTTTGCTTATGTTATTATGTACCCTGTAATTCTGACAATAATCATGAAATCTCAACATTATATCATTTACACGACTTTCAATGGAAACAAAAAAATCTAGGTGATTTCCTTCTTTTTTTACCACTAAAAATAACCATGCCAAATGCCACAACACTAGGTGATGCCCTTGGAATCTAATTCACCCTTGATTTCATTAGCTTTTGGAGTAATCACAAAACATGTGATGTAAATATGTAATCAGATAAAAGTCAAGATCATTGACTGTAAGACAGATTATGCCTAGTGCCAAATTTGAGAACTCTGCTTCGAGGTCTAACTCACTCTCATGTTCTCCTTGTGAGTTTTTTTATTCTAGAAGGTTCTAGAGTTTAGATATTGTTCTTTCAGAACAATTGGAAAATATTTGCACCATGGCTTCCAAACATAAAGTGTGGAATCCAGGAGATATAACTGTGAAAGTTTACAAATCAAGATCAAACAATACAAAAAACTGCTTAATAAATATCCAATTTACCTCTTCTCCTTTGCTTCCTAGTCTCTAAGTCAGCAGGAATTAACCCTTTCCCCAAAATTAGTTCGAAAATTTCAGCAAGAACACCGTAAATGATACATATCAAGTATTAGTATAGAGAATGCATTTTCACGAAGAATATATCTGGAAACAATTGGATCTGAAATAACTACAAATGCTTTTGGACCAAAAGCAAGTTTGTAAACCGAGCCATGTTGTTCAACAAATCATCATTGAGGTGTCATATATGTTAATAACTTATAAATTAATCATACAAAGAGAATAAAAATGAAAAGATAAATGAGAAGTATCTCTATGAACCAGTCAAACAAATAGAAGAAAGAGGTTTTCCAAACAAATCAGACACAACACCTTCAGCTACAGCTACAGGCATGGAACCTATGCTTCCACCATTCAAGAAATTAGTCAATAAATTGCTTGCATTATCCAAAACATTCGTACTCTTATTCGTCTTCTCATCTGTACTAGTTGAGTGACATCTGCATTCATCATACGACACAACCACAACTAATCTCTTATAATTATATTTAAAAAATTTGTAATCAATTTAAGTAATTCATGCCACCTAGTTTGCACTTGACAACATTGAAATCAAACCTCCTCAAGAAGAAAACCATCTTGTGAGTTGTAAAAGCCAACTTGAAGAAGATATGAAGATGATCCGGTTTCAAGATAAAAGAAATCATATTAGTGAAGTTCTTGCTGCCAATGATCTTGCTTCTATATGTGTGGTTGATACAACTGATCTTAGCAACTATATTGAGGAAATCGTGGTGTCATCTATCTCATATCATCTCACACATACCAAGAATACAGAGTATAGAAATGGAAAACTAGATATTTCTTCTAAAAGGTCTGATTTATTGTAGAGTTAATCACAAAAAATGGGAAGTTCATGTCACAAAATGACCACATTTTCACCATTTATCACAATAAGAAAAAAAGAAGAAGTATAATATTAATATCTTACTCAATACAATTTGATTTAGACCTAGGGTTAGAGTTTGATTTTGGACTATCAAATTACCAGTGAAGGTATAAAGTGAATTAGTAGGTTGTTCACATTGTATTTAGCCTGCAAAAGTTATAAAGTCATCATCAGTATAAAAATTGAAAATCAATAACTTAAATAAAAAGTATATTAAACATATCATATAAGTTATATAACCTTTGAAATTTGAGGCTTTCTCTTGTGTCATATAGTCCCATGTCTTCTCCATAGCTTTCCTGATTTTAAGATTGGTTTCACCATCCAGATTTGCAGTCTATGAACATGGAAAATGCATAAAGTAATATGAATCAAATAACAAATCAATCGGAATTCCTTTTAATTAATAAACTGGGACTGTAACAAACCTCGATATAGCAAATGCCATCAGGATTTGTAGATGCAAGAAGTAATAAATCTGCTGGAAAGAACCCATCTTGCTTCACCTACAACAACCAGATGAACACTAAGATTTGCATTCAACTTTAATAATAATAATAATAATAATTTAGTGATTGATTCATAAATATACAACTAGAGCATACTTACTCTAACAGTATCCCCAACCTACAGTAACCTCCAGGGTACGGATTCCCATGTTTTGTTTTGCGTCAATCAACAGGAGAGTTGTTTATTGTCATATCATTTTGAAGTCGCTTCTTTTAATAATTAGGGTATCATATAGGAATGATAAACATAAACAACTATAAGAAACATAAGAAATAATTGCACTCTTAATGCTTACCCAATCTTCAAAATCCTCCTTGACAAGAGAGACGAAAAGCACAATGCTTAGTGGGATTACATTTGTGACTATACTAACAGGAGTGCATAAGAAAAAAAGTGTGTTATCACTCAATCGATTGACTTATCTAATCATGCGATACCTAGCCAATATGATTTTTCTTCGTTTTGCAATGATGGAGCCGATTGATTAGCAATTGAACAATTGATTTATAGGGAAGTGATGTATGTGACATGAGAGCAATAGATTTAGCTACATTGATGGTCAGAGCGGAGAAAAGTGTATGGAGTACTTGTTTGACTTTGTGTGGAGAACAAAGGTGCATTAATGGGAGGGTGTGGAGCAATGATGGACCGACGACGATGGACCGACGGCGATGGAACGACGACGATGGGTTGGCGCGATGGTGTCGAATTGAAATGGAGGTTTTGGTGTACCATTTAGGGAAAAAGAGATGTGTTGAGTCGATTTCGGGCCAAGTACATTTTTCTGATTCTTGTACCAGTAGTCAAAACTAATCAGCTTTATTTATAAAAATAAATCAATTAATTGGGTTCACAAAAAAAATATTTGGATAATTAATTTGTTCAAAATTAGTTTGATTATAATCAAAATTAGTTAAGTCTTCTTATTTAGTCAAAATATAAATACAACCAGGACTTTTTCTAATATGTTCTTGTTTTCAGTTTTTTCTAAATATTATTATAATAAATACTTTTGATAAGGACCGTTGAATGTAATTAGTCTTTGCAAATTTTTGTGTAAAAAAAAACAAAGTTGTAGTCATTTTCCAAAATAAAAAACATTAATCAAAAAAATGTTTTAATTTTTATTAATTGAAAATTATAATACATATATATAGTCAGGGACCACTGTTTTATGGTCAGTGAATGTTTTTTACTTCTAATTCATGAGTGACCACTATTGAGTAGTCACTAATTGTTTTTCCCCATTTAAGTAGTTTTCCATAACAAAAGTGTAGGCGAATAGTTTTGAATAAGAGTAGAGAGTGACCACTATCTTTGGTCACTAAACCTCCAATACTACGACCAATTTTTTGACACAAGGCTTCTAACATAGGGAAAACTATTTTTAGTCACAAAGCTTCTAACATAGTAAGCATTATTTTTGGTCACTAAATAGTTGTTATGATATGAAACAAAAGTAGTTTAGTTGTTTCCCAACTTAGTGACCGAATTAGTGATCACCACATAGAAATGGTCATTGAATTTGTAGGATTAGAAAAATTTAGTGACCACTTAATTTCTGGTGACTAAAAGATTCTTGGGTAAATTACACGAATGATCCTTATGGTTTAGGGTAACTTGCGCATTTGGTCCCTAACTTATTTTTCTAACTCGGAAGGTCCCTACTGTTTGTTTTTGTTACACGCTTGGTCCCTGTCTTACATAAAAAGTCTATTTTTCCCTTGATTTTTTAATTTATTTAAATAAACACACCCTCAATCTCATCCTCTCTCCTTAGCTTACCTACTCTATCATTTTTGTCTATTTAAATAATTGTCTTTTTACGTAAGATAGGGACCAAACGTGTAACAAAAACAAACAATAGGGACCAAATATGTAGCAATAACAAACAGTAGGGACCTTCCGAGTTAAAAAAATAAGTTAGGGACCAAACGTGCAAATTACCCTAAACCATAGGGACCATTCGTATAATTTACTCAAGATTCTTTCATTGACGAAGTTTTAGGTCGTCACTAAAAATTAGTCACTGAATTTTATTGTAGTGACGGGTACACAACTAGTATCTTATTAAATCATGTTTGAATTGTTATTTCAAAAGAAAAAAAAGATGATGTGTGTGCAAAGCAAAAGTAAAAGTAAAAGTTATATTTACTATACACCTCAATAATTAGAGAAATGACTATATGAATTGTCACATCATATTTTAAAATATATTCAACAATTTTTACACTATAAGTGGAATTTTGATGTAGATTCATCTCATAATTCCTTCAAAATATTTCACCAATATTTTCTCATTATAAGTTCCTCCATCTTTCATTCGTCTTTGCATCTTCAACAATCAAATTTCCTTCATCGCTTAGTTATAAGGCATGTATGTTTTAGGGTTCATGACCTAAGAGGATAATAAGGTTTTAACTTTGTTCATATTTGGTCCTTAAGGTTTTTTTGTACATATTACACTAACATGGTTGTTATAACCATTTAAAACAGTTAATATGTTTTTAGTTTTAACCATATGAGGTCCTTAAGGTCTTTTTTGTACATATCACACCAACATGGTTGTCATAACTGTTTAAAAAAGGATAATAAGGTTTTAATTTTGTCCACATTAGGTCCCTATTTTTAATATTTTTATCATTTCATTTAACTCTTATAATTTATATTTGTATCTTGTTAGATGGCTTCATCATTTCAGCTTATCATTTTCGTTGCTCATTCTCAAATCCTTGGTTTGAGTTCGGTTACACCTGAAGGTGCACCTGAATCCCTCAAACCAAGGCTCTGATAGCAACATGTAACAACGTGAATTTTAAAAACAATTTTTCATTTTTTAAACAACATAACCATCATTTAATATTCTCAAATATCATGTTTAGCAAATGTCATCATAATAAAAATACATCCCAATATCATAAAACAAATCTTCCGTCAGTGTGTACAGATCATGCCGGCTCCTTCACACGGTCCTCGCTAGTACCTGAAACACATAACACAACAACTGTAAGCATACATGCTTAGTGAGTTCCCCAAAATACCAATTACACACATACGCCCTTCCAGGCCATGACCTTCCGGTCCATGTGTCTCAAGGGACTTCCGTTCCAACCCAGTAAACCTTTTGGTCCTTCCCGTGTCGACCTTCCGGTCCATAACTCCTTGACCTTCCGGTCTACATCATAATGCCTTTCGGCCCAGAACATAATGCCTTCCGGCCCATATCAATGATAGCATACATAGCATATACAAAACGGGTAACTAATCACATACAATGCGTATATCTTATAGCATATCAGACCTTCCGGTCACATATAGGTACCCTTCCAGGTACAGTATAGTGAGAAGACTCACCTCGGATGTTCTGGTAAATCATTGACTCGGTAGAAATACGATCTAGCCACCGCCTAAACACATAAAGTAATATTCTCATAAATATAACTCTCAGAACTAGACTCTATTTTCTCTAAGCTCCCTTAGAAGGGTGAAAGACCATTTTACCCCTCCTTTTGCTCAAAGGCCCTCGTTGTTGACCAAACCCTAAAAGTTAACCAAAGTCAACGGTCAAACTTTGACCCGACTCGGCGAGTGCACTTGGGCAAATCGGCGAGTCCACCTGTGTCAACTTAACTTTTTAGTCCCATTTAACACGTCGAGTCCGTCCCTTTACTCGACGAGTCCCCAGGTAAGAATCGTGGGGCTACCCCGACTTAACTCGCCGAGTCCCAAGAACAACTCGGCGAGTATATGCCATGCACAAGTTCTATTGACCTCCTGAGGTCAGATCTGTTCATCAAATCCATAAATCTGTCCTTCCCAAGTAATATAATCATGTAAAGTCCAGACCTTGGAACTCATGTATCATCTAGATGGTAACACTTGGAGATTTTAGCCCAAAAATGGCATCCAAAGCTCATTACTCTCGAGATAATTCATAAAGCTCCTAGGGTTAATGTCTCTGGACCTCTTTGAGTCCATATCCAAAGCATAAACTCGATAAGGGACCAATTGCTCCACATAAACATCCTCAAAAAAGGTTAGAAAACCCTAACTCTAAGTTCAATACCTAAACTGAAGAAGGTCCGAATAAATACCTCAAGTTGAAGTCTCTGGACTCTGAAACCACTTGAATCAGACCTCCTTCAGTCTCTTCTTGCTCTTGATCACCTCCTTTTTGCTAAGCCAAAAATAGAAAGATCAATTATGGCTTCTCCTTCCTCCTAAACGATCTATCTCACTAAGGGTGCTCTCAAGGGACTGGTAGCTGCAATGGAAGGCTAAGAGTGCCCTTAAATAGGCTCCAACTACGAAGGATTAGGGTTTCATTAAACAGCGTGGACTCACCGAGTCCAACGCGAACCCAAATGATCAACCGCGACCCTACTCGGCGAGTCTAAGCATCAACTCGCCGAGTTCCTTCACAAATTCCAAAAATAAAATATTAAAATAATATACCTGGGATTCCGGATGTTACAATTCTCCCCCACTAGAATCAGACTTCTCCATCGAAGTCTCATTTGGCAAACAACTCTGGATGCTGCTCACGCATCTCGTGCTTCGGCTCCCAAGTCAGCTCTGACCCCTTCCTATGCTGCCACTGCACTTGCACCAAAGGCACTTCCTTGTTCCTCAGAACCTTGACCTTCCGATCCCTAATTGCCACCGGTCTCTCAACATAGAGGTCAAAGGCGTTGAAAAAATATTCACAACTAGATGGACGTTCGTCATCCTAATGAAACTCGTAGATTTAGACTCTAGAATCAACCAGGTCAGAATTGAAGAAATTGATAAAGTTCTCAACCAACATTTAATGCAATATGAACTATGTTTTGTTTACTCAGTCTTGTGATTTCCTATTTAATTTCTCTGGTATTTCTTTTATGGTTTTGTATTTGTTTTATCTTGTAATTTCCTATTTAGTTGAACTTGTCTTATCGTATCATTGTAATATATTCGATATTAGTATCAATTTGAAGGTATTCATGAAATCATTGTAATGATATAATTTATTAAAACTTATATTTAGATTTTAATTAAATATTCTTAAGTGAAAAAAATTATATAGTTCAGATGATAAAAGTAAAACTAAAATATTAAAAATTAAAAAAAATAACATAAAAAATCAATTTAAGTTCAAGGACCAAAATTATTATTTAAAAGGGAAAGAACAGTAAATTTAATAAAAGATCGTGTTCTTTTAAGTATAGAAACAGTTAAATGTGTTAACAAAAAAAATGTGATATAAGATGTAGGACTTAAACTGTAATAGAGGGTTAAATATGAAGAATATTAATATACATCGTGTACCTTATGGTGACGCCAACAAAATTGACCCTATTTTTGAAAGACAATTTGAAAATGTCGTATTTTTAAAAGAGGGTTTCTAAAATATTCTATTTCTGAAGAAAAAACTCTTATTTTTTAATAAGGACATACACCATGCATTGAACTCCATAGAGTTCAATGGATTGTCACATCATTTTTTTCTACAATGTATACATTTGTATCATTTTTTTTTTCTATAATGCATCAAAATCTATAAAATTCAATAGAATATTAAAATATATAATTTATATTATATATTTGAGAATTAAAAATTTCCTATTTTTCCATTAAAGAATTCATAGGCCATTGAACTCCAAATCCTTTGAATACAAATGTGATATCTCACAATGATAGAGTTTCATCTATTAAATGACACCAATATTTATTATCTCATTCAATTCTCTCATTAA